AGAAAAGGGAACCGCCTGGCCAGCATCCTTCCTGGATCCCCCTCACTGCTGCTGCCGCTGCTGCTACAGCTTTGGGGGGCTCTGTTCTCTGCCACTCTCGATCACCAAACCACCTAGTGCAGATTGCCAGACTACCCCCGCCCTCAGGTCTTCCGAGCCTCTTCTCCCAGCCTTCCCCGTGGTCTTGAGCCACAGAAGCAGCAGGTCTCTCCTGGCTTCCCAGTGTGCTGCTGCTCTCACCCCACCCCATGGCACTACTCTAGCAAGAAGATATTTATGGAGTCTACCTTCCATCCCTCCCATGGCACCTTCAACCTCTGTCCTTTCGCTCTTCTGCCCTAAGCAGAGGCAAAACGCTCAATCTCCCTCCCTGGGGGAGTTCAGTCCCCTGAAGGAGGGGCGCCACAGGCCCTGGGACTGGAACAAGGATGCAAGTTGGGTGAAAGGCAAAAGGAGGTGGCTCCTGGCCAAGACAAGAACCTTGGTCTCAAACCCATCCCCAAAGCAAGACCCTCGGTCTCAGACCCAAAACAGATGAGACAAAGCTCCAGGCTGGGGTGTGGGGTATCTGTGGTCAGTCTAAGAGTATTGGTGGGGTTCGAAGATTGAGAGATGGGGCAGGGGGTTGGGGGAGACTGTGGCTCGGGCACGGGTATTCTGGGCGGGTGCGGTGACTCACCAGCTCTGGGGTCGGGGCTGCAATTGCCGGTGCAGAGCCACAGAGAAGCCGAAGAGGCTCCCCGGCTCGCCCTCCTTGCGCAGGGCGCCCATCACGTCCAGATTGAAGGCTACAGCCCCCGGGGAGAGCAGTCCGGCGAGCAGGGAGCCGAGAAGGTAATAAATCCCAGGGGCCCCCCAAGGATCGCGGCCCGGAGTCCCGGCCTTGGGGCGAGTCCCGGCCATGGGGCGAACCCCGCGCACTCCCCCTGAGAACGCAATGAAATACGCTCGCGCCCCGAGCCCCAGGTCTTCCAGGGCGAGTCTCTGGTCTCCGAGTCTCGCTGTTCCTTCAGGGGGTCTCCCAATCTCTCGCCTCGTCACCCCTCTTCTGACGCTCCGCCGCCCCAGCACTGGCCAGGACGCATGCAGCAGCAGCAGCAGCCCGGCGTCCACTCGGGCTCCCGCCTCCGCCCCTAGGGATGCCACCCTCGCCCCGCCCTCGCCCCGCCCTTGCCCCGCCCTTCGGTGCCGCGGCAGGTGGAGGCCGCCGGGAGTCTTTGAGGGATGCTCAGGCGGGCAGCTCCGGGTGGGAACTGACCTTGCTCCCTCTCCAGCCCCCCAGCCCCAACTCAGCTCCGGCACCGCCCTCGCCAGCGGTCTCCCCTTCCTCCCACTCCTGCCCAAGCCTGCGAGTGGTGCAAGAGGCGATTAGGAATGGGGGCGGGGTTTGGGGGGGACGTAGAAATTCGGATAGAAAGGGGCCAAAAAAGAGAAGGGGACGCTGGAGAGATGAGAAGTGGATGAGGCTAAAGGCCAGTCTGGGAAGAGAGATGCAGACAGAAAAGGGTGATGAAAGGGTAAGTGGTCTCGGGCCTGAGTCCGGTGTGGTGCCTTAATGCTCCCTTCTCCCCATGGACACACAGAGCACCTCTTCTGCTGTTCGAGTCACACCCTCTCCCATCCCATTCCATCCACCCCTCAGAGCCCAGCAGTGGCAACGGCTGTGCTAACCGCGTCGATAGACTTCAGGGGAACAGAGGAAAAGACAGGCACGAAGAGAGTAAAACTGAGCAGGCCTGGAGAGGGGAGCAAAGGAGGCAAGAAGAAAGAAAACAGAAAGAGAAAAGAGATGGAGAAAGAAGGGCAAGAGTTCGATCAACAAGGGCAGAATGAAAGGAGAAAACAAGGAAAAGACTGATCCAGGAAGAGGAAATTAAGTGGGGGGGAGGAGGGGCTGTCAAAGAAGGAGGAAGATGAGAGAGATTGGACCCTAGAGGTAGAGGAAAGGGAAGGCTGCCTCCAGCTTCCAGACCCTTCCCAGGGTACATTTCCCACCCTCAAAAAGGGAACGGATTGGAGGAGGCAGAGTCCTGGGCCGGCCTGGGCAGGGGCTAGCTGGGGCTTTCCAGGGATGTCCCTGGGGACCGGCAGGCCTGTCCCTCTGTGTCTCCTCTCCCCATCCCCCAGGCTGAGACAAAGGCAAAGGGAGAGAGGACATTTTCCAACTCTGCTATTTATAACTCCAATCCAGAAATGGGGCCAGCAGGAGAGATAGGAAATAACTTGGCACAACTGGAACCTCGCTTGCTCCGTCTCCCCTTCCTAGTTCTCTTTCTTACCAGGTGTTGATCTTGAGTGTATCCATCTGTCCATCTTTCCCTTCTCTCTCTCATTCTCTGGTTTTGTCTCATCCCCAGCTCTATCTTTGTCCCCTGTCTTGTCTCTGTCACTTGGAATCTTTCTAGACTATTTCTCAATGTCTCTAATGTCTTCTCTACCCTTCAAACACTCCCATATTCTTAAGATTCTCTCTTCTCTCTTCCTTTCTTAAAAGCTCCCATACATGTTTTCCCTAATTCTTCTTCCCATATCCCTTTGACTCTCTTACTTCTTTGTCCAGGATTATACCAAAATAACAAACAAACAAACAAAGAGGTAGGCTCTCACTCTGCTGGCCCTGGGACAGTCCTTGCCCTGGGTAAGTTACTATACATTTGAAGGTTTGGGTCTCCATTTTTGCAACACTCCCCCTGCGGGCCTCCAGGGGACTGGCACACCTCTACACAGGTGCTATCAAGGTAATACAGCAGGCTGACCCCGAGATCCTACTTTTATTATCCTCCAGATATGCCCTCTCCATCCCTTTACTATCTCAGAGCCCAGGCAACAGATAAGAGCTAATATGAGAATGCAGAGGAGCGAAATCAGGGTAGAACCTGAAACTCTGGACTCTCAGCCCAAACATCCAACCGGGCTCAAAATGCCTTCAGAGCCCCAGCTGCCTTCTTCTCTGTCTGCACCTGCAGCTTCTGCCTCCCTCCATCTCCACTCCACCGGCTCCTGCTAAATCGGAGCCTGAAATCAGATGCCAAGAATCTGCTTCTGACCTCCTCTGCCCAAATATTTGAGAAGTCACCTCACCCGCCACAGGAGGAAGGAGCAGGAAAAAAGAGAGAGAGGCCGCCCAAAATTAGCCTGGCTATAAATAGTGGGGAGAGGGAGGGTGGGGGAGCGTGCAGGAGTCCCAGACCAGCCTGGTACATTTAGACATGTAGGTTTTCCCTAAGGGGGAAGTGAGACCAGGTTGTTGGAATGGAGAAGAATATTGGAGGTCAAGGAGGGGAATGAAGAAGCTGGAGGAATCCAGATAATGGAGGCAGCTCGATATTAGAATAAATAACCTGCCAGAGAACTTTTGTATTTGAGTCCGGAGTTTGGAAATTCATTAAGTTAAAACAAATGCTGATACCGTGTGATTCCACTCATATAACATTGTCAAAACGACAGAGCTGGAGAGATGAGGAACAGATTACTGCTCGCTAGAGGACAGAGATGGGGAGGTAGGGGGGTTAATATATAAAGATAGCACAGGGAGTTTCTTCATGGGGATGAAGAGTTCTGTATCTTGATTTTGGTGGTGGTTATTCAAACCTATATGGGAAATAAAATTGCATAGAACTACGCACACAGGCGCACACATACACGAATGAATGCTTATAAAAAAAACTGGGGGAAACAGAATAAAGCTTGTAGGCTAGTTAACAGAATTGTACCTGTGTCAGCAACCTGGTTCTGATACCGTGCCACAGTTACAGATGGTGTCACCACTGGGGGAGCTGGGGGAAGGGTACAAGGGAATGTACTGTTTTTGCAACTTCCTCTGCATCTGTAATTATTTCAAAATAATTTCAAAACATTTTAAAAATTGATAAATGTCCGGACCCAGCAAAGACTGCCCCTTGTCTGAGTGGAAGCTGAGGTTTCTCCAGCCCCTTTGTCCTTCTTCCCCTCCCTCCGGAGCCCCTATTTTCCAGCTCCCCCAGATGACACATTTTCCAGCTGCTGTGTCTAGCTTAGGAGCAAACACTTCCAGAACACACACTGCAGGGTTTACTTCTCCCTCCACCTCATCTGGCAGCAGAGCCTTGGAGTATATGTCCCAGGGCCTGCCTCTTCCTCCCCAACACACACAGCCTCAGGACTTTCTCACCCCACCCACCTCTCCAGCACTAGAGTCCTTCTGCCGGCCTCTGAATTCGGGCTGTAGCCAAAGTTCGAACTCTGGGAGTGGCTGGGAGAGAAGGAATAGAAATGTGATCGAGGGGAGTCCTTGGAGAAGTGGCTTGACCACTGTGGTCTTGGAGGATCCAAGGGAAAACCCCTTGCACCTTGGGGAGAAGGACTGGGAGGTCACTTCCCACAAGGAGCCATTCAGACTGTCTTGAGAGCCCCTTTTCTTTGAGCGTGGGCTTCATGCCAACATTTGGAACTTGGCCACACCACCAACGGCCCCCTCTTGAAGCCCAGCCAGATTTCCCAGTATGAGAAGCCTTCTCCGCTCACACCATGTCCTCCCTCAGTCCTCACCCAACCCTAACAACTCAGCAGCTTCCGGCCCTAATGCTTAGCCCAGCCAGTCAGCTTGGAGATCGCGAATTAAAGCTAACTCTGAAGGAGACCTCCAAAGAACAGGGAAATGAGTGGAGAAAAGAATTACAGAGTTGCGTTCATCCATTCTAAAAGAAAGTAATCCGGGTGGGATATTGTAAGCAGAGGTGGGCAGAAAAAGATTTCAAAGTTCAAGAGTCATTCTCCAGTTACGTATGCAGCTAGTGTCTGTCTCTACCAAAGGCAGGTGGGCACTGAGGTTAGACAGTGAGCAACAAGGGTCTAGAACAAGAGCAGGTGGAGAATGATACCAGCTGGGGTTCCCAGATACAGGGACCCATGTCCTCTGCCCAGATCTAGGGCAAAGAAACAGCCAGCGCATGGGAGAGGAGGGCGGGGCTGATGTCTGCAGAGTCCTGGCACTCTAAACACCGATTGTGAAAATGTCAGGAGGTTGTGCCAAGGAGGGTGAGGGTAATACAGCATGGGCCTGGCACTCTCCATGAGTCATCCTCTTCCCAACAGTCACAGCCTCTCAGCCGAAACCCCCAACACCAACCCCTTCATTAGCCCCTGCCCCCTGTTTCACATTCTCCTTGTCACCATTCTCTGGCACCCCTTCCAACCCCTGCCTGTCTCTCCCAGCTTTGGGAGTGAGGCACCGGGCATCTTCCAATCTGCCTCTGTTTTGCTTGCTCACTGCAGTTGGAAGCTAGAGCCAGAGGGGGCGAGGACCAGGCCAGGCTGCCCTGCGATGCTCTCACTCTTCCCGCTTCTATTGATCAGCCGCTTTCTGGAGCAGAGCCTCTTCCCAACACTCCTCCTCTGCCAGGATTCCCTTCAACTGATGCCCCACAAGTACAGAGGGGCACGTGGCAGGAGACAGCGAGCCCTCCCTAAAAGTGCTTCTGGGCTCCCCCTCCTGGGGCCCCTCCCATGGAGTCTGCAGAGCAGCGCAGTGGTTACCCTGGGGATCTGGTATCAGATGGCCTGCGTCTGTGTCCTGGCTCTACTTCATTACTACACTGCTCTGTACCGCACATTCTTCCCTGCTAACTGGGGGTGACTATTACACTTCACACGATTGTTCTAGGGGTTAAATGAATTAATACATGTAAAGTGCTTGATACACAGTTAAGTACTCAGGAAATGTTGGGGAGAAAGAACACATTAAAGCATACACACATACACACGGTATCCAACACTTTTATTCAGAAGTTTTACTTTGGCACTTAATGTTCTGCTTTATGTTCCCACTTAACCATTTCACTCACTAATCTTTTGACAGCTGCTCATCTCCCAGGACTTAAGGTGCTACTCTGCAAAGAGCTGAATGACTTAATCTCCAACTGGGACTCAGAAAATTCATGAAGAATGTTTTATTCTAACTCAATCAGTATCCATTTCTTCCCCAGCCCCTACAAATAGATGTAATGAAGTCAATTTTCAATTATGTCACTGAATCACCAAGTGAGAGCATGCCAAAGTTGGAAATGGCCTTAGATATGGTTTAGCCCTGTGATTCTCACCTTGGGTGCACATTAGAATCACCTGAACAACTTTTTAAAAAAATACCTATACTGGGGTTAATTAATTAAGTAGTCTCAGGCTAAGGTATTTCTTTTAAAACTTCCCCCAATGATTCTAATGTTTAGCCAGGGCTGAAAGTCACTGATTTAATCCAATCCCCTAATTTTAGTAGGAGAAAACCAAAATCCAGAGTGAGTAAGCAACTTGCCTGAAGTCACCCAGCATGTCAGTGCACCGTGCACCAGGAGAGATTTCGGCAACCAAGAATATGTTGGTAACGTTTATCATTGCTTCTTGTTGGGGTTAATCTCAGAAGAATTTCTCTGTAGTTCAGAAAGGTGTTATATAATTTACCTTTTACTTTGCCAGCAGCGCTTATTCTTCGCCTTAAGACTTAAGTGAGTTTGCATTCCCTGACCACAAAAGGACAGAGATGGAACTGCACGTTCACCACACGCAGCCAGCCAAATTAGCTAAGCTCCCTAGGAGGCCGCTGGAACTGCCTAAAGTGCTTCCTCTCTGCAATGATCACCCAGAGGCGAGGAACTTTGGCCGGGTGGTGAGAAGTGAGAAGGCTGGAAAAGAGCGGACAGCATTCCGTCCTAGAGGGAGGGAGCCAGGAACCAGCCAGAACTGCCAGGAGAGAAAGGCCAGGGAAGGCAAAGAATTTCAATGAGTCCTGGGAGCCTCTGCTCTCCCAACAACCGAGCCGTGATGGACAGCCTGGCAACAACAACCCTCCTGGGAGCCTGAGATTCAAAGGAGATGTGAAAAACTGGCTCTGCAATATGAATACTAAAGAAAACGTCTTCCAACACTCACTGAAAAGTGAGCCCCCAATAAAGACAAAAGCTCACCTACCACCAACCCTCTCCTAGTCCCTTCCTTCTTAGCCAAGAGCCTCGCTACCTACCACCCCACGTCTCAAAAGAAGGGCGGTTCCGGGCCTCACGTGACACTTCGGCCACGTGACCCGGGCCCCGCGGGAGCCGAGCGGCGCGTTCCAGTTCCGGGAGCCAGAGGGGGCCGGGCTTGCCCTGCCCCCAGCCCGTCGCGACCATGCTGTCCCGCCTGCTGAAGGAACACCAGGCCAAGCAGAATGAACGCAAGGAGTTGCAGGGTGAGCCCAATATGCCCCCCGCGGTTTTCTCTCCCGCAGCGGCCTAGCCGCAGCCCGGAGCCTGGACCTCGAGTACCAGCCCAGATCCGGGGATGGCCGCTGGCCAGTGGTCACGGGCGTTGGGGAGAGGGAATTAGACGGAGCGTTTCTGGAAGTTCCGTTCCCCTGCTAACCGGCTCTGGTGCCTTTAGCAGCACTCTGTGCCTCTCGGCAACGCCCCCCACCTTCGGGCTCGGCGGCGTCCTAGCCCCGCCCCCTCTCGTGGAACATTGTGCCGATTGGTCCAGGGAGCCGCTAGTCCTGGAAGGGGAAGGAGCGCTCCTGGAGGGAGGAGGGTGTTGTGGACCCACCCGAGATGGGATCCTTGGAGGCTTGAAACCAGCGAGATGGGGGTGGGGTCCTTGTTTCCTGAATCCAGGCTGGGAATCCCGGAGTTACCAATCCTTAGACCGAGGTTGTGGGAAAAGAGTGCCTGGGAGTCTGGAGTCCTGGGCCCTGTCACTGACTGGTTAACATCCCTGGGTGAAGCACTTCCCGTCTCCGGGTACCAGTTTCCTCACCTCTAAAATGTCTTACAAGGTCCTTTCAGCTGTGGCACTCTGAGGTTAGTTGAGATGTTCCCACAACAAGTAGACAGCAGTGAATGAGTGGGGAGCCTTCAGCACCATCCCTCTAAAAAACGAATCTCCACTCCAATCCCTTTTCCCCCCTCCCCCTAGAGAAGAGGAGGCGAGAGGCTATCACTGCAGCGACCTGCCTGACAGAAGCTTTGGTGGATCACCTCAATGTGGGGTATGAACCTCTTCCTCTCAACACTAGCCCTCCCCCTCTCACCAGGTTTAGACACTGATAGGATCTGGCCCTCAGACGCTCTTGAGAGGATGAGATGTTCCACTCATTCCCCTGCCCTTCCCCCACTCAGCCTAACTTCATGGAGAGAGGCTTGAGTCAGCTCTGACCCCTAACATTGGGCAGGGAGAAGCAGCTGTAGCGGTTGGAGAGGCAGCCACATCCCCCCTCCCCACAATATCTTCCCTGGTGCTCACAACTTGAAGCCATCTGGTCACCTCCCTTCACCCCTCCAAGTCCAGCTGTCACTTCCAGCGGGAGGGAGAGCACCATGCTTCACCAAAGCTTACCACCCTCTCCTCCTCCACCTCCCGCCCTCCTGCAGGCCTGGGAAGCAGCTGGCAGGAAAGAGATGGCACAGCTGGTGAGGGTAAGGGCAGAACCTATGCCAGGAGCCACCACAGAGCCAGGCTGTCGCTTCCCTTCCTTCTGAGTCTCCAGAAACCACCCCTTGCCCCAGTCCTAAAGGAGGATGCCAGTAACAGCCAAAGACTTGGGAAAGAGCAGAGAATATTGTCTCTTGACCCTGAGTGACCCAGAAGAGTACAGAGATGATGATGTGATAGGCCAGGCTGTCTACTGGGAGAAAGGAGGCAGTGCAATGCCTTCCACTGCAGGGCAAGGAGAATAGCTTGGTTGTGAATCCAGAGACTGAGTCACCCAAGTGAGCCATGCAGGGGCTGTCATCTTCATTGCTCATCTCTGGGTAGGATTAGAGGGAGAGAAGCCTGTGGTCGGGGCCTCTGATCTCCCTCCCCTGCAGGCCTCTCCCTTCACGCAGTGTGAGTGAGAGAAGCAGGAGGTCAGCAAGGAAAACCGGGATGTCAGGAACTCCCAGGGGAATGTTGAAGCACTGCGAGCCCCTCCTATGGGTGTTTCAGCTCGAACACCACCCCCTACCGAGGCCAGCTCTCCCGAAGAGGAGGGACAGGGTCTGCCCCACCTCCCACATTGGCGCCTCCTGGGCTCTGCTGGGAGGTTGGCCCAGACTTCTCCCGCTTCTCTTCCTTCGCTGGGCGCCACCCCACTTTCAGCTTAGAGGGCAGCTAAGCCAAAGCCAGATTAGAAAGGGTTTTGTGTCACTGCCCACGGCTCCTCTCATTCCCCGGAAAGGAAAACAAAGGCTCGGTCTATCCCAGCCCCTGTCAGGTGTCCTTCCCACTCTCTGGGTCCCCCCATCCCTTGCCCCCTCCAGCCCACACAGATTCCAGCGGGTGGAGGCACCGGATGTGGAGTCTCCCAGCTGACCTCAAGCTTTGGGGTGGGCAGGGAAAGATTCAGCAGCCAATAAGGGAGAACAGTTACTGCAGGGGCTAGGGGGACCGGACAGAGGGTTGGGGACACCAGCCTCAGGGCAGTGATGTAACTGGAGTCAACCATGATTGAGGAGAAAAGAGAAACCATTGCCTAGAGCAGAAGGGAGAGAGAAAGAGATCGCTGGTCTGTGTGGGCGAGAGGAGAAGGGTTGGGAGAGAGACTGAGGGCCAAGAAGCAGCCCCTGGGACATCTTCTCTTGACCCTGAGTTCCTGGGGAGGGGGTTGCTCTCCATCCCACCCCAGATTCAGGGAGGGGCCCAATTTCCCTTCTCAACTTCTTGCACAGATCCCTGGCCTTCCGATCACTGCCAGATGTTTCCCTGCTGCTGGATTTTCCCAGCTTCCCCACGCCCCTTTTTCCCTCCCAGCTTCTTCCTCGGGGATGTCTTTCCCCCCAGGTTAACCCTCCCTTCTCTCACCCAGCTTCAGAAACTCCTTTCGGGGGTAGGAGATGGGATGTTTCTAGTCAGCTCCCGGCTAGGCTCTCCTGGGAATCCTGGGAGCGGGAGGAGGGAACCGGGTTCATTTGCATGAACTGATTGGTAGTCATTTGCCTCACATCCAAGGATAGCCAAAATCACAAAGTCTTCTCCAGCCTGGTTCCTGGCTGGCCTCCCACTTTGCAGTGGAGTCTTAGTCCTGGAGACCGCTCCCCTCCAGCTGGGGGAGTTGACTTCCTCCCTCCTCCAACCTTCAGTGTGGCCCAGGCCTACATGAACCAAAGAAAGCTGGACCATGAAGTGAAGACCCTACAGGTCCAGGCTGCCCAGTTTGCCAAGCAGACAGGCCAGTGGATCGGGATGGTGGAGAACTTCAACCAGGCGCTTAAGGTGGGCCAAGCTTCTTACATCACCAGCCTCCTCATGGGCCCCCATTGGCTGCCTCCAACGGGGTCACCTCAGGCCTGGGGTTAAGGAAGAAGTGGGAATGTTCCTAGAAACCCCAGAAGTCTTTGGCCCCAGTGTCACAGAAGCTAGAGAAAGAGGTAAAAGCAGCTGGTGGGTCCAGGTAAAGCCTTTTCTAGGGGATTAATGAGAAGTGCCCCCATCCATCCCCTAGAGCCACACTCCACCCACCCTGACTCCCAGGCTTCCACCCCCTCCCTTCCCAGGAAATCGGAGATGTGGAGAACTGGGCTCGGAGCATCGAGCTGGACATGCGCACCATCGCCACCGCACTGGAGTATGTCTACAAAGGGCAGCTGCAGTCTGCCCCCTCCTAGCCCCCATCTCCCCCACTCCTCTTGCCTCCCCTAGTGGGGCAGGAGGGAGGCTGACAGGCCATGAATAAAACCCAAGCCTCCATTTCTCTGTGTTTGTCTCAAGGAGCTACTGGCTAGAGGGTGGGAATGGAAGGCTCGACGTCTCTTTCCCTAAGAGTCAGGTACCTTCCTCTTACAGTCAGCTCTCTTTTCCTCCTTGGGCCTGGGACCTGTGCAGAGGGTGGGAGTTTCCCACACCTCCCCAGAGAAGAGCTGTGGGCCCACTTTTCAGTTCAGCAGAGAAGCAGGACTGGGAGCCAGCCTGGTCCCAGCTCTGGCTCTCTGCCTCTCCACGTGTTCGTGGCCTCCCCAGCCTGGTGCTAAGCAGTGTCATGAGTCTGGGCCTGGTGGGAGATTAACTCTTGGGTGTGGGATCACTTCAGGGCAGGGAAGGAGGGGGGATGACAGGTCCAAGGTCACCAACAGAGAGGGGCAGCTGCCATCCTTGACCGATCTGTCCCCTCTTGAGAATCCACAACAAAGGTAGTGAGGAACCCCAGCTGGACTAGACGGCCAAGAAGAGGGCCCGGGCACTGCCGGCCTGTGCCAAGCGCTGGCTTCAGCCCGCAGGCTCCAGCTCCCCCAGCCTGTCCTCCCCGCCCTCCCCCACCCCACATGCACTTAATACTCTGGCACCCAGTCCACCTGCTGTGGACTTGGCCTTAGCTGTAGCTAGTGTGGAAGCCTGGAAAGACTGGGAGCAGAGTTTCTCAAGCAAAGCAAAAGCAGCAGCATCAGGTGTTGCAGTACCTGCTAGCTTTCCCCGCAGGAGGTAAGCGAGGTGCCGGGAGCCCGGGTGGGGAGAGGGCGGTGCTGGGAGACTAGGAAGATACTCACGTACTGAGAACTCAGAGCCTAAAGCTTTCAGTGTGCTCCCTCACACTTTATCCTCTGATTCTCCACAGCTCTCAGGCGGGCAAGGAGGGTGTTAGCCCCACTTGGTAGATGAGGAAACAGGTTCAGAGACACAGTGATCTGATTAGCCTCACACAGTAAGTTTGGAGCCCCCGGGACTAACATGCAGGGGCCCCATACATGTTTCTAAAACCAAGGCCCCGCTGTTTAGCAGGAGGTAAGAGGTGACAGCAAACAAAGTCCCTCTGTTCCCGTGAGGCAGGTCTGCACACAGACCGGCTCACAGATACAGGCTCTGCCCAGATCTTTGCTCTACTGAGATAAGCCATAGTTTGCAAGTTACCTGCCAAGCAGGTAATTTCTCAGTCCGTTCAAATCAGAGACTTCCAGCCAGGGAGGATATTAGTGGCGAGGGCCTGAGGACTGGAGTCAACTAGCACGCCCTCCTGCCCAGCCTCGGCTGCCACCTGCAGGTCATTTGGGCTCTGGCCATGTGGCTTCCTCTGCTGCTGGGAGTCTTGCTCTGGGCAGCGCTCTGGTTGCTCAGGGACCGGCAGAGCCTTCCCGCCAGCGATGCTTTCGTCTTCATCACCGGCTGTGACTCGGGCTTCGGGCGGCTCCTGGCACTGAGGCTGGACCAGAGAGGCTTCCGGGTCCTGGCCAGCTGCCTGACCCCCTCAGGGGCAGAGGACCTACAGCGGGTGGCCTCCTCCCGCCTCCACACCACCTTGCTGGATGTCACTGATCCCCAGAGTGTCCAGCGTGCAGCCAAGTGGGTGGAAACACACGTTGGGGAAGCAGGTGAGTACGGCTGGGGCCCCAGGACTGGGCGGGGTGTAAGATGTGCACTCGTGGGGCTACGTGGGGAGGAGCGTGCTCAGGTGCTCCCAGAAAGGAGAGGGGCCCTTGGAAGGCCTCACCCACTCCGTGCCTGTCTCTTCTCCCCACAGGGCTTTTTTGGTCTGGTGAACAATGCTGGTGTGACTGGTATCATCGGGCCCACACCTTGGCAGACACGGGAGGATTTCCTTCCGGTGCTGAATGTGAACACACTGGGTCCCATTGGGGTCACCCTTGCCCTGCTGCCCCTGCTGCGTCAGGCCCGGGGCCGGGTGGTCAACATCACCAGCGTCCTGGGTCGCCTGGCAGCCAATGGAGGGGGCTACTGTGTCTCTAAGTTCGCCCTGGAGGCCTTCTCTGACAGCCTGAGGTGAGGGGTGCAGGGCCCCGGCTCCCAGCCCCAGGGCAGCCCCACAAGCGAACTAGCCTCTGCCCTGCAGAGGGTGAGCACAGCCTGGTGGAATACTTAAGAGACAGGTTAGGGCTCGACCTCGTGGGCCCAAATTCCAGCCTTCTCCCACGCGAGCTTGGTGACTTTAGTCGGTTACTTCTCTTTACCCCCGAGTGTTCCTCTGTTAAATCTGGATGAGACCTGCCTCATGGGTGTTGAGTGAAGTGAGACACATGTGAAACCCAAAAATGCCCCCAAAAGCCTGCTCTCATTATTAGTGTTGTTAATAACAACTACTCATGATGAGCTAGTACCTTCCCATGACACTTTCTCCCAAAAATATGGGAAGGGTTGGTATTAACAGACACCCTTAGGGTAACATGACTTACTCAAGCCCACAATAGTGGGAGCCCTGGCACCCCAGGTCTGCTAGCCTACAGAGCCCGGTCATTACATCCTCCTGCCCCTCATCTTTAGACAGTAATGTTCAAAGTCCCATGACAGCACAGGGGAGACTGGATGAGGGGCAGGGCCTGAATTTGGAGCAGAAGTTCAAGTCCCCCAAGCCAAGCCCACCTTCTGAAGGAAGCCTTCAATACATCAATATAGTAAATACACCAATATCTACTTTGGTCCCTATCCTTGTTTTTTCATTTTCCAATCGGCATCACAGAACACAGACTTTATACTTGGACTTCTGCAATCCGTGCCGGGTATCCCCAATTTCCCCCAGCAAATGCCAGCACTTGGGACACAGCCCAGTGTTTTGGGCGCTAGGGAGCGGGGCTCTTCCAGGACAGAAGTTGGCACATTGTGGTTCTCTCCTCAGATCTCACCAGCTGCCTACAAGCTAATAATGGTTTTTATGTTTTTTAATGGTTACTTTGTAAGTGGTTATATAAGTACCTACGATTTATCATTAATTATAGACCTAGTGCCAAAAATATTTACTATCTGGCCCTTTAAGAAGTTTGCTGGTCCCTGTTCTAGATGCTCTAGAAGAGAAGACAAAGGAAAACAAACCTCTAAAATACCTCCTTCCCTGTGCCCTCTTTGCCCCGCCCCAGGGCAGCAGGGATGTCCCTTCCTGTCAGGACCCCTGTCCCTGGTCGGTGACACTTTCCCATCTTAGCCCTCCCACCCGTCCCTGAAGGTCTTCTCCCTATAAAAGCAAGAACCCAGAAACCTCCCTCTGCCCCCATTCCAGGCGGGACGTGGCTCCTTTTGGGGTACGAGTCTCCATCGTGGAGCCTGGCTTCTTCCGAACCCCTGTGACAAACCTGGAAAGTTTAGAAGATACCCTACAGGCCTGCTGGGCACGGCTACCTCCAGCCACAAAGGCCCTCTACGGAGAGGCCTTCCTCACCAAGTGTGAGTAGCTGGGCCCAAAGGCCAGGCCTGCACTGGCCTGCTGGGAAGCGGTGGGCAGGGCGATCAGGGAGGGGGTGAGGGGGAACGGGATGCCATAGGAGAACACCCAGGCCGTGTGCAACCTGCCCACACCCCAAACTGGGGAGGGGACCAAAGACCCCCTCACCTCTGCTGGGCAACAGCCCCAGGACCCAGGAGATAGGGTCTGAGGTGGGCTGGAACGGGACAGGGACACTGATTACAACCGTCCCCTGGGCTGCAGATCTGAAAGTGCAGCAGCGTATCATGAACCTGATCTGTGACCCAGACCTGACCAAGGTGAGCAGGTGCCTGGAGCACGCCCTGACTGCCCGTCACCCCAGAACCCGCTACAGCCCAGGCTGGGACGCCAAGCTGCTCTGGCTGCCCGCCTCCTACCTGCCAGCCAGCCTGGTGGATGCTGTGCTCACCTGGGTCCTTCCCAAGCCTGCTCAGGCAGTCTCCTGAATCTAGCCCTCCTGCAAGAGATTGTTTTTCAAAGCAAGGACTTTGATTTATTTCTGTCCCCACCCTGTTACTGTCTGGTGCCTGGCACAAAACAGCCACGCAATAAATGTGTATTATTCGAAACAAAACAGAAATACTGTAGGTGATTTGAAATGAAGGTGCTCAGTGAGAGACTGACCTCACTTAACTCCACTAACCTAAGCTGACATCCCCTAGGGTCTCTGGCCTGTTTAGTACCTGCAAAACAACCAGCCCCGCTGGGGGGCGCAAGGGGACAACACCACAGCTGGCAGTGATCTTTAACGCGGCACCTGAAGGAGTGGCCGCCAGAGGGCACTGTTGGATGTTTCCTTTATTTTCTATGGAGTAAGTGTTGAAATTCAGTGGCCTGGGAATGAAGGAGTGGGGAGGTGGTGAAGAGGGGTCAGGGCCAAACTAGGTGGTCTCCAGGGAGAAAAAAGGCAAAACCCTCTTAAATTCTACTAGCGAAAGTAAGGAGGATGGATACTGGCCCCACAGGTATAAAAGCAACCTGTCACCACCCTGAAAGAAGCCATGCAGAAGGTGGCTTCACAAACCCTTCAGCACTGAGCCTGGCAACATGAGACTGGGAGACAGGGAGCGGAGGCCTCAGCCTCCTCCAGATCCCCACTTCCACTTCCAGCCCAACTCATGCCTTCAGCCCAGGTCTTGTCCCAACACCCGCCCCTACTCACCCACCAACCCAAGATAGGCCTGCTTTTCCCAGAAGTGCAAAGAGAACAAGGTCCCAGAGGACAACATGGATGAGCAGAGGGACAGGACAAAGCATCACTCTTTAAGACAAACTGAGACTCTCTCTTTTCGGTCTAAAAAATAATCCGTTTAATGGAAAAACCTGGAGTATATGACTCCACTCCCCCTGGATGAGGGGGCTGAACAGACCAGACCCCCTACATCACCTCATAGCCACTTCGGATACTCTTCACCAGACAGCAGGCAAAGACAATGCCCAGGATCTAGAAGGAAAAGATAAGAGAAGGGGTGAAGAGGAGTCAGAGCAGCAAGGCACCCTGGACCCATTCAAGAGACCCCAGACACAAACAGGGCTCCCCACCCCCTCCCCTGGGCCAGTGCCTCCTGCTCAGCGCCCTCCCACTGCCGCGTTCCCAGATGCCCCAGGGCACTTTCACCTCCACAAAAGCAATGCCCAGAGCTGCTGCAGCTGCCACCAGCACGTTGCTCCTCAGCCAGACCCCAATCTTCTCCACGCAGCCCTGAAGGGTGGCAGGCACACCATCAGAGACTTCCCACCTCCTTCCCCGGACCACCTGTCTCCCCCATGCTCTGTACCTTTCACCCTACCCAAGCATCCCCAGAGTCCCTCCATCCCTGACCCCCAACTTCCCAGAGTACCAACCCTCTCCACCAGCACCCGGGTTGCTCCTGCCTCCTGAAATACTTCCCAGGTTCCCCGAGTCCCAACGACCTTGGCCTCCTCCCTACCTGGGTATGGATCGCCTTCACGTTGAAATCGGTCCCACAGCCCTGAGTGACATTGACACAGCAGGAGTCAGGGACTCGCTTGGCCGTGAGAAGGATCTTCTCCCAATCTGTGTAGTTAGCCGCCCCGCAGCACTCAAACTAGGGGAGAGGAGAGATATGGGGAAGAAGGTTGTTAAGTGAACTTCCATCTTCAACATGGAGATGAGACTTCCTCCCTTACCCCTGCTCCCAGCAACTCTACTCACCTTTTCTTGCATCCTGTCCAGGATCAATGCTGTGTCGTTGTTTTTCGTATAATTCTGCATCTGCTGCTGGAAGTTTTTATTAAATTCTGACCTCACCTGGGAGTAGGGAGAAGCATTGTTGAAGCCAGAATTCAGAGCACCTGGATCCCAGAGCAACCAGGCCTCTGAGGCAAGGTCCTCCCCTTATTCTCTGCTTACCTTGTCTCTAAACACGTAGCCAGCAATGGCCGCAGCCAACTCCACCAGCATGATAAGAGACAGCAAGATGGCAAACTGCAGCAAAGGACAGGAGTCAGGTCTGGAGTCTGGGTGAGAGGGGCCTGCCAGTCTCAGGAACATTCACAAAGGTTTCCCTCCCCCACCCACCCTCCAGAGAAATGCCCTTCTGGCAGTGCCAGGCACCCACACTGGCCTGTACCCCACTCACCGTCACCATAAGACAGTAGTTCTCCTTGCAGGTCCCACAGCAGCCCACAAAGGCCACCAGGAAGAGGAAGGCACCCACTGTAATGATGACCACGGGCAATAGGGAGCCAGGGGTGGCCCCCTGGGTAATGGTCTGATTCAGGACAAGCTGGACCCCTACACCCACGGCGATCAGTCCCACTGCACAGGCCTGCAAGGAGGGCAGGTCAGGATTCAGAAGACCCAAACACCATCAGGCCTCCACAATGAAGGGCGACATGTGCACCCAGGACATGGCCAGAACCCCCATCCCAGAGAAACAGATTCTCACACCTCCAGGAAACTTTTGACTGTGGGGGAGGAGTCTGGGAAATTGTTCAAGGCTCTCAGAGAGAAGGCAGTCAGCAACCACGCCTTCCTTCAAGCAGCAACTCACCAAACACAAAAAGAGAAGTTCCCAGAAAGCCTTGACCCCAGGGCACGAATTCCCACCAGTAAAACTTCCTAAAGGTAGGCCTCTTCCTATGAGCCTGTAGGGCTCCCAGAACTGCCCTCTCACTACCCTCCAATCCCACCACATCATCATCAGCTGTGACTAGGCCAGAGCGAAGAGAGGAGAAAAAGGGGGTAAGAGGTTCTGCCCCTCCCTGCACGAACAGTAGCCTCTCAGGCCAGAAGGCCAGGGCAGAGCAATTGAGGTGGGCAGAGCCCTTCCCCACCCCCGAGCAGCCCAGCGGACAGGGAAGAGGAGGTGGAGGGGGAGCCGGCTCTATAGAGGAGGAGCGGACGGGCACCCCGTGGCCTGGCGATAGCATCAGGCGGTTGGCTGGTTGCCCCACTGCCCCGTATCACAAGAGGTTGGGTCACCCGACAGGAAGGGCCAGAAGGGGTTGTGGCGAGGGTGCTGAGCACCCGGGCCGGCCATTCTCAGTCCAGACCAGCCTCAGAGGTCCCTGAAAACTGGAGGAGGGGATGGCCGTGCTGTCCTCGGTCGTTCCTCGGCTCTCCTGCTACATCTGGTCTCCAGCTGCCTTCATTCTTGATCCCTCAGCCCTCACCACTCCGGGCCAGGTCTCCCCGCACCCCGCCAGCGCGCCCTCGCCGTCCCCGCTCCTCACTCACGCAAAAGGCCAGCAGGAGAACGTAGAGCAAGAACTTGACACATTTCATTCCTCCTTCCACCGCCATGACTGCCTGGCCTGGAGCAGAGGGGAGGGCAGGGGGATGAGAACTGGCCGAGGGGGGATCTTGGCTCCGGAGCAGTCTGCCGGCCCTCGAGACCTTCCCTGCGCGGCCCCCATTCCCGGCCCCTCCCACCCGGAAACCCGCGGTCAGATCCACGTCTCCCAGCCCCCTC